ATGCCAGGCAGCATAATTTTCTATGTAATTTTGGATCCCAAGGCCCTAATGCTCTTGTCTCCACTTAAACAGAAAGCTATACTAAGTAGCCAAATGAAATAAAAGAAGGAAGATACATACCAATCCTAGGAAAGAAGGTGCTACTGACCTTTGGAAGTAAATGCTGATCTAAGCAAAATATTGTCTGCCTGCTCAATCCCTCACTAATATGTCTTTGTCACAAAACCAAAGCAACACTGAGTTGGGATGATCTAACTATAGGATCATCAGACAGTTGCAACAGTAAAACACCAAAGGGCTATGAACAATGCCTCCTGCTTCTAAGGAACAACACAGGACACTGGTTACCTCTAGGGAGACCTGAACCAGAAGATGCACAGCCCCAGCCAGGGAAGGCCTGAGCTGACCAAACAGCTTTCTCAATTCAACTGGGAATCTGCCTTTCACTTTCTGCCATAATAAACATCCATTTTGATCACTTCCCTCCCCAAAGCCAGGTAACTTCTATAATTCTAGCAGTATCGGTCCCCCACTACAACATGACTATTCTCTTCAAAGCTGTAGGTCATGAACAATGGTCTCTATCTTCTCAGTAAGGCTTCAAATTTTAGCTGTCCACATTTCTCTCTTGGGAAATTTAGTGACTGAAGTCCTTGATCGGTTACTGGAAGAATGTCCCCCTTGGGATTTATGTATCTTAATCTCAAAGAGCCGACCTCTAAAAGGCAGGGGTCAGGGGTCAGGGCTACTACCTAGCATCACAGAGGCACTTATTACATGCTCCTTACTACTTGCCCATATATACAGCTTCTTGATGACAAAAGTCGCTTCTGTAGCTTAACAAACCGAGTGATTTTTCTGTCTTTTTAGACACAAAATGTGGTTGAAAAAAATTCAGAAAGCAGTGTTGTGACTGACATAACCAGAAAATTTACTAACATGGTAGAAGACAAAGATAATAAATTAACAGAAATCTAAGTTTAGTTCAGAATCTAATTATTAGGAATAATAAACCTTGAACCATAGATCAGACATTCTGTTAAGTGACCAAACAAATGAGACAAAGCATTTTGCTACAGCTATCCCATTTAAAAGAAACAACACAAGGCCAGGCACAGTGGCTCACGCCTGCAATCCCAGCACTGTGGGAGGCCAAGGCAGGCAGATCACTTGACGCCAGGAGTTCAAGACCAGCCTGGCCAACATGGTAAAACCCTGTCTCTGCTAAAATACAAATATAAGCCAGGCGTGGCAGCGCAGTCCTCTAGTCCCAGCTACTCAGGAGGCTGAGGCGTAAGAATCGCTTGAACCTGGGAGGCAGAGGTTGCGGTGAGCTGAGATTACACCATTGCACTCAGGCCTGGGTGACAGAGTGAGATTCTGATGAAAGAAATGAAAGAAAAGAACGAAGGGAGGGAGGGAAAGGAAGAGAGGAAATGAAGGAAAGAAAAGAAAGAGAGGGAGGGAGGGAAGAGAGGGAGGAAAGGGAAACAGGGAGGCAGGGAGGAAGGAAGGAGAAAGGAAAGAAAGAAACAAGACAAGACCCTAAACAGAAAAGATAGCATGTGTTTCTAGAGAGAAAATACGAAACACCATCATGGGAAAGCCAATCAGTTCCACTATCAAGAGAAGTTTGTATTACCCTAGTGATGTTTAAAAAAAAAAAAGATACTGGTCTCATGCTAATAAGGCCAAATGTTTCTTATGTTTTTTTTACTGAATCAGAAGATTTCTGTCCCTAATAATATCTCCAAAAACAGAAGTATCTGTTGCTAATATATGATACCAAAATGGCAGACTGTCAGCCAACTCCTAAATCTGTTATTTCCTTCTCCCTGAGTGTGCATCTGCCTACGTATCTTGCAACTATCAACTAGTTTTGAACCATGGAATGTAAGCAGGAGCGATGTGTGCAATTTCTGGGTCATTTGAAATTTATTACCAAGCCCAGGTGCGGTGGCTCACACCTGTAATCCCAGCACTTTGGAAATGTGAGGCAAGAGGATTGCTTGAGCTCAGAAGTTTAACACCAGCCTGGACAACATAGTGAGGCCTTGTCAACGCAAAAACGTTTTTGAAAATTAGCTGGATAGGCCAGGCATGGTGGCTCACTCCTTTAATCCCAGCACTTTGGGAGGCCGAGGCAGGCAGATCATAATGTCAAGAGATCGAGACCATCCTGGCCAACATAGTAAAACCCCGTCTCCACTAAAAATACAAAAATTAGCTGGACATGGTGGTACGCACCTATGATCCCAGCTACTTGGGAGGCTGAGGCAGGAGAATCGCTTGAACCCAGAGGGCGAAGGTTGCAGTGAGTCAAGATCAGGCCACTGCACTCCAGCCTGGCAACAGAGCAAGACCATCTCAAAAAAAAAAAAAAAATTAGCTGGGCATGTGGCACATGCCTGTAGTCCCAACTACTTGGGAGGCTGAAGTGAGAAGATCACTGGAGCCCAGGAGGTTGAGGCTGCAGTGAGCTGCCTGAGTGACAGAGTAAGAGCCTGTCTCAAAAGGAAATATAAAATTATTGCCAGATGCTTATTCCATACTTAGCTTCCCATACCATCTCCTCCTACCACAGCCTGGATGTGGATGTTACATTCAGCATCAACCATGCAGATAAAGACAACAACCTAAGGAATGGTGGGTCAATAAGGAAGGAACCTGGATCCCTGGCTCCCTTTGTAGAATAGAGCTGCCCAGCCAACCTAAAGCAGCAGCCATCCTGAGAGGTGAGAAAGAAACACAGTCTACCTTACTGAAGCCATCAGGAGCTCTTAAGTTAAACCTCAGCTTCACCTTTGACTCATACAATAAGTAATTAATCAAACATATTAGTTTCTCATTGTTCTAAAGAAAACAGATACACTTACTCCACTGCTTTCTTGTAGATTTCAATGGCCTTGTCCAAGTCTCCCTCCAGCAGGTGGATCTTCCCCAGCATTATATAAGTCAGATCATGCCTATTAAGATTCAGGGCATTGTGCAACTGGTCTTGTGCCTGACAAGTTTGACAAAGCAAAGAAAACCAAATTACTACCACTGAAAGAACTATAATTTGATATGGCTAATGTAAAGACAGTTGCTGCTGTATTGACATAGGAACATCAGATTTCAGCAAAGAGCCCCCACTACCCAAAGACCAAAACATACCAAAACTATCCTTGTTGAAAAGACAGCTGGCAACATGGGATATCTGCTTCTGAAGCTACTTGGAAGAATTTATGCAAGATGATTAATCTTTCTGAATGTTTACTGCTTGATATTCATACCTATGACTCATACTTCATAAGTCAAAAGAAACATCATAGTACATGTAGAGTACTATACTAAACTAAATCCCAGCTGTAACACTGACCAGATGCACAAATTTCTCTGTGGTGGGCCCCCATTTCCCCACCAACGTGATGATAAATGAATAAATAGATTGTTCTCATTTATTCACCCAACAAGTATTCATTGAGTGCTTGCTGTTCTGGGTGCTAGATATATTTGAATTAATAAAATCAACTCCTTGCTCTGGAGGAGTTTACCTCCTAGTAAACAAAAAGGTGTTTAGTCATTCGCTGATCCAACAAGTATTTATATAAATGCCAAGTATTGTATTTGCCTAGCCTGTTAGCTATACAGTAAAATCTATTTCTTCTCAGTACAGGTCCAACCAAAGACCAATCCTTCTTTTCCCCTGACTCAGAATAATGCTGTGAATAGAAATATGAATGTTTGAAATTGTCTGTGAAGAGAAATATCTCCTAATCAAGTATATAAAACTGTAGATCCATCTACAAAACCTAAGGGACCCACTAAATGTATTTTATGAACATATATTGTTTATTATCTATCTCAGGAGAAAAGTTACTTTTACAACCCAATTGCTAATGTGCATTTTTTTTTTTTTTTTTACACCAGTGTGGGATAGATTATGTTATCCCAGTCTGCAAATTGATACAAACTAAACATTGTCAAATGGGTACTAATTCAGATTCTCAGTCCTGGTGGCATTGGAGAAAGGAGAATAAAACTTCACAATCACTAAGTGTAAGCTCTATGAAGGAAACTACCCAACGTTCCCATCACTAAGTTTTAGAGCTCTCAGTAATTTTGTCTGTTCCTCAATTACGATATATACTTTTCCTTACCTGAGTATCAAGGTAAGCTCAAATTGTTTTCTCTGATTTAGGAGCCTATAGCTTAATCACAAATATAAATTCTCATCATGGAAAATAACTAAAACTTTTAAAACTCAGAAATCAGATCCACTTAAAATTTATTTTCAATGACCCTAAAAACTAAAATCAGTTGCTGTAAGGACATTAGATCACTCACTTGCTCATGATTACACCTTTAAGACTTAAGGGTCCACTTTTTGATATATGTTTCATTAAGCATTTATTTCTATACTGGGAAATTAAACTGGAGGTAGAGAAAAAGAAGAAAGGAGAAAAACTGCCATTCTCTCATATTTCTAGAACTTTACATGTTCTTATTAAAAGCAGAAAACAACAGATGAATAATGACAAGTGAAAATTAAAACAGAAATAAATGTATAAAGGTAATTTTAATTTTCAGTTCCAAAAACCTTTGCAAGCACCAAGGATAATACAAAATGAGCAATGTAACTCTGCAACAGCAAGTGCACCCTGAGTGAAATCCATCACCACTTCTATAAATTACCTTGTTGAACTGCTTCAGATAAATGTAGCAAACTCCTAGGTTATGGCTGATCTCCTAGGCACATTAAAAAAAAAAAAAAAAAAAAAAAGGGAAACAACTTAGGTGTAATTCCACAGTAAGTATTAGAGTGAATGAACAGACATCTAGAGATTGTTATTGCTCGGCAAGGTTTAAACTTTAATAAAAAGCTGACTGTAATGCATGGTTTAGAGTTCGTACTCAAATATATTTGTTAAAAATTAGTTCTTCAATTTAAAAAACATGGATTATAAGAAATAAAAGCAGAATAAACAGGTGATCTTCCTGGATCTATGGGGCACCCTGGGGCACATATTCTCTAAGAGTTGCCCATCACCCATACCCTTTTAACCTTCTCAGGAGAGAAGCTGAAAGCCCCCTGAGGACTGCTAGCCACATTTCTGCCCTTAAGGCAAGACAGCTGGACAGTGACACCTGACTCAATTGAAGTCCTTTCCCTAGGAATCTGGAATTGGAAGAGAGCTAGTTAGTTGCAAGTACTAAATTCACTAGGTGATGTGGACTTGAGGACTGACAGCACCACCTGGAGTCCGCTACGGGGGAATACATGTAATTGGAGCCATCTGCAGAAGTCTAGAGCAAGATGGGAAAACTATGGTCTATGGGCGAAATCCATTCCCTGCCCCTTTTTATAAGTACAGATTCACTGGAATGCAGACACAACCACTGTTTCTGTATGGCTCGTTTGCATTAGAACTGCAGAGTTAAGTCATTGCAACAGAGTCTGTATGAAGTTGTACAAATTAAAATATTAACTGACCTTTTACAAAAAAAAAGTTTGCCAACCTTTGATCTACAGAAAGAAAAGATAAAGCAAAAAGGCGAAGTATCTACCTTGGTTGCAGAAGCATTCCAGTTCTGCTTCACTAAAAGACCAACTTATGTATTTGTAAAAGATAAGGCCTTTTTTAAATCTACCCACATCGTCACACTAAAAAAAATGAGTGATTGCTTGATATTAGATATTCAATTATGTTCAAATTTCCAATTATCCCACAAATGCCTCGCATTTCAAAAAAAAAAAAAATTGTATTCAATCACACCTCAAATCATGTCCATATTACAGCGCATTGGGATTTGAACTCAGGCCTGCTTCCAAAACTTGCATACTTCCATCTTTGCCATGCTATCAGAATGCATTCATGGAGAAAGACAAGGCAGAAATAAAGCCTTTCTTGTTCTTTAAATGTCCTGCTCTGCAGTAAGAACTGTCAAGGTAAGTAAGTAAATACATAGATGTCCTGAACCTCTGACCTTTTAAAATCTTTAACATGACAACAAAGAAAATTTGCAAAGGGGAATGGAACAAATCAGGGTCAAATCCTATCTTTCAGGAGGTAAGGGAATCCAGCAAACATCTTACAAAGGCAGTCGGTTCAATGGAAAGATCAGTCTTAAGATGAGGAATCTTAGATCGTCCTAGATCACAGGCCTGAATTCCAGTTCTGGCTCAGTAACAACCTTACTGTAGCAACTTCTTACACTTCAGCAAGACATTCCATCATCCAAAGCCTTAGTTTCCTCACTTGTCAATGGGGGAAATCCTCCCTACTTAACACAGCTGTTCCAAAAGTCAAATAAGATAATAGGAGGAATTACTATTCCCCTGTTGTATATGGAATACCCTGATGAGTCAAATAAAGTAGAGCTAGGTATTCTTTTTTGTTTTTGGAGACGGGGTCTTGCTCTGCTTCCCAGGCTGAAGTGCAGTGACAAAAATCACAGTTCACTGCAAGCCTCAACCTCCCAGGCTAAAGTGATCCTCCGACCTCAGCCTCTAGAACAGCTGGAACTACAAGTACACATGACTACTAATTTTTTTTTGCTTTCCTGGAGACTGGGTCTCTATGTTCCCCAGTGTGGCCTCAGACTCCTGGGCTCAAGTGATCCTCCTGCCTCAGCATCCCGAAGTGCTGGGATTACAGGTGTGAGTCACCACACTCTACTACAAGTTTTTCTACAGATACTTATAAAATACATAGGGTAGAAAAGGGCTGTTAATAAAAATAAAATGAAAAATCATTTAAAAATTTTAAAAAGAAAAGAAAAGTGCCATGAAGGGGAAAATTTTAAAGGAAAGTTAAAAAGTAGAAAAAAAAAAAAAGGGGGGGGGGCTGGCATGGTGGCTCACGCCTGTAAAGCCAGCACTTTGGGAGGCCAAGGGGGGCAGATCATGATGTCAGGAGTTTGAGGCCAGGCTGACCTACACGGTGAAACCCCATCTCTACTAAAAATATAAAAATTAGCTGGGCATGGTGATGTGCACCGGTAATCCCAGCTACTAAGGAGACTGAGGCAGGAGAATAGCTTGAACCCTGGAGGAAGAGGTTGCAGTGATCCGAGGTTATGCCACTGCACTCCAGTCTGGGTGACAGAGTGAGACTTTGTCTCAAAAAAATTAAAAAAAAAAAAAGAATGGCCGTTTTGTGAATGACCACATCTACTAGTAACAATGGGGTGGTTATCCCAAATGAGTCAGTAATACCAAATTAGCTTTTTCAACGAACTGGATAAATTAAGAAACATGTTCCATTCCCCGTGACACTGAGTTCTCCTGTTTTACCTCTTCCCTATCTCCCTCTATGGGTTCTCTTCTTCCGCTCAGTCTTTCAAAACTGGTTTTTGATGGCTCACACCTGTAATCTCAGCACTCTGGGAAGTAGGAGGAGGAGGATCACTTGAGGCCAGGAGTTTGAGACCAGCCTGGACAACATAATGAGACCTCATGTCCACAAAATAAATTTAGCCAGGCATGGTGACATGCACCTGTAGTTCCAGCTACTTGGGAGGCAGAGGCAGGAGGATTACTTGAGCCCACGAGTTGGAGGTTACAGTAAGCTATGATCACTCCAATGTACTCCAGCCTAGGAAATTTTGTCTCTTAAAAAAAAAAGTTTAGAAAGCAAAGTTAAAAACTGCTAGCACCCAGCGATGTTCCAGGTATTCTTGGTGGGTCCTGGCTCCTCACTGGCCTGTATGGTGACCGTCTGTGGTGTTGGCCACCCCAGGGTCCTGGCCCCCATACACAGTGCAGGGTTTCCTCCCTGCATTAAAGCAGTAACTTTTCCTGCGCTGTCTCAAAAAAAAGTAAAAAACTGTTTTTTTCAAGGGTTCCATCCTCAGCTCGTTGCAGGGTAATGTCATCCAATCTGATGGTTTCAATTACCACCTTTGTGTTGTTGACTCAGAATGTGTATCTCTATGCCAAAACACTTAGTTTCAGATTTCTATATCCAACCATACTGGACACACCTCAATTTAGATATCACCAAACAACCTAAAACTTATCATGTCCAAAATCCTCTGAAAGATAGGAGTTAACTCTGATTTCTTACCATCACCTTCTTCCAAAACTTGCTCCTCCTGCTTCCTGTATTTCCTATTCTAGTTGATTGGTACAGTCCACCAGTCCGCCTTTGCATCTCCAGGGCATACAGCAGTGCTTGGCATATAGGAGACATACTCATTTTTTGAAAAAACCAACTGAATTAAAATATATGAATTTTTCTTTATCTGTAGCTTCACTCTGGCTGTTAGCTATAACATACTCCACAGCATAAAGAATCAACTCAGTCTTCAGACGTCCAGAGGGAAAGCAAATTGAACAAACTTCAAAAATAATAGTGCCCCATAAGAAATGCAACGGAAATCCATGCTAATTCAGTGTACTAATAAATCTAATCCTTCATTCATAGATATGAATGTCTCTCCAAGAATCATCAAATACTTGAAAAACACTAACAGCATAAAATAGAAGAACCAAAATGAAGAGAGCAAGAAAAAGATAACTCTGGGAAGCAGAACAGAACTTCAAGAATCAGAGATATTGGCGAGGCTATTGCAAGAAGACAAGATTTTTGGAAATTAAAAATACAATAAAGGAAAATGAAATAAATATTGGATGGATAGGCTATACAGCAGAATACAAACAGCTAAAAACGAAAATGATGATCTGGAAGGTAAGACCGAAAAAATGCCCTGAATGTACAATAAAAGGACAAAAAGGGCCTGGCGCAGTGGCTCACGCCTATAATCCCAGCACTTTGGGAGGCCAAGGTGGGTGGATCACCTGAGGTCAGGAGTTGGAGACCAGGCTGGCCAACATGGTGAAACCTCATCTCTGAGGTTAGCCAGGCATGGTGGCAGGTAGCAATCCTAGCTACTTGGGAGGGTGAAGCAGGAGAATCACTTGAATCTGGGGGAGAGAGCCTGCAGTGAGCCGAGATCGTGCCACTGCACTCACTCCAGCCTGGGCGACAGAATGAGACTCTGTCTCAAAAAAAAAAAAAGAAAAAACAAGCAAGCAAAAAAAAAAAAAAAAAAAAAGTCAAGGAAGTAGAAAATGAGAGGCAAGTTAAGAGTTGTGGAGAACAGTTAGAGAACATATCATAGAGAATGGAAAAGTGTGGCAGATGCTGCTAGTTTTCTACCTGCTACCTACTCTTCTCTTCTTCCTTACTAATAGAACCCTGTTTGTTTAGAGTGGCAATGTGACCAGATTAAAAACTACATTTACCAGCTTTCCTTATAGAAGGGGAACTGATATGACATAAGGCGAAGTCTGTGGGGAACTTCTGGGAAAGTTGTGCTTTCCCAATATAGGCTCTGTCCTTTTCTCCTTGTTGCTTTCTCTTTCCCCCTTCCTAGAATGCAGATGTGATGTTAGATGCAGCATTCTTCTAACCATGAGGAAAACTCACAGCCTTGACATCCTAGACCACCAAAGCAATGCCAGCAACTACTTATCTGGACATCTTGTTTCATAAGAATTAAAAAATAAACCCCTAATTTGTAAAGCCAATGTTTAATCAAATTTTCAGTTGCAGTTACACACAATCCCCAACTGATACAAAGGGAAGGGGAGGGGAAAAATAAAGAACTACTCAAAGATCCTGACCCACAGAAAGGCAAGGGTCTTCAGAATGAAAGAGCCAACTGAATGTCACACAGATGGGGATGGGAAAAAGGCATGAAACACAACTCGATGCCTCTTGCTGGCATTATGGAACTCCAACGATGAAAAAAATACCCGAAGGCCGGGCGCGGTGGCTCACGCCTATAATCCCAGCACTTTGGGAGGCCGAGGCGGGTGGATCACGAGGTCAAGAGATCGAGACCATCCTGGTCAACATGGTGAAACCCCGTCTCTACTAAAAATACAAAAAATTAGCTGGGCATGGTGGCGCATGCCTATAATCCCAGCTACTCAGGAGGCTGAGGCAGGAGAATTGCCTGAACCCAGGAGGCGGAGGTTGCGGTGAGCCGAGATCGCGCCATTGCACTCCAGCCTGGGTAACAAGAGCGAAACTCTGTCTCAAAAAAAAAAAAAAAAAAAGAAAGAAAGAAAGAAATACCCGAAGCTTCTAGGGGTCATCAACAAGAACCAGACTGTTAAGAGGCTGCTTGCCAGCAAACTGTTAGAAAATCATGCAGCAATGCCTGCCAAGTTATGAGGAAACATGTTTTTTTTTTTTCTTTTCTTGATATGGAGTCTCGTTCTGTAGTCCAGCCTGGAGTACAGTGGTACGATCTCAGCTCACTGCAACCTCCGCCTACCAGGTCCCCATTCAAGCAATTCTCCTACCTCAGCCTCCCAAGTAGCTGAGATTACAGCCATGAGCCACCATGCCCAGCTAAGTTTTGTATTTTTTAGTAGAGACAGGGTTTCACCATGTTGACCAGTCTGATCTTGAACTCCTGACATCGTGATCTGCCTGCCTTTGCCTCCCAAAGTGCTGGGATTACAGGTATAAGCCACCGCACCCCGCCAAGGAAACATGGGTTTTTATCCTGTACTCAGACAAATAATGAATCAAGTATGAGAATAAAATCAAGGCATTTTTGAAATGTAAGAATTCAGAAATAAGACAGCCACATGATAAATGGAACCATCAGCATGTTTACTAATAAGAAAGAACTGAAAGTTCTCTACTTACCCAATCTTTCTGGTTGAGTTTAGCTGCTTCATTATAGACTTCAATGGCAGCTTTATGTTTTCCCAAAAGAAATCTGTAAAAGATATATTTTCCATAATTATTACCTCAAAATTCTTAGAAGACTAACCCCACTAGTCCCACATTTTACTCATATTTCATCCAGCAGAGAATTCTAGAAGCCTGTTCTCCATGAGCTGGTTTTACTAGTTTGGCCAGTGAAGCTGCTGTACACTAACAGCAGAAGCTTTCTTAGTAGGGACTGCAGTGGCAACTGTTCCAAGTCTTGGTCTCATTCTACACCAATTTTAGTGAAAGTCTTGTGGAATTTTTTTCTACAACGTACTATAAATGCAGGCCAAAAAGGAAATAAACCAAATGATGTACCATGTTAAACAGTAACTACCATCATTTATCATCACCCATTAGGGACATGTCCTTTCCTTCCAAGACCAAGTCTCTTTCCTTGATATTGGATCATGAGTTTAGAATGAAATGGGGAAAACCAAGCTCTGCAAAAACAACGCAGGTATGAATGGCAATGTAGCTAACAAAGTGGAGATGTGAACTCCATGGAACAAAGGACTGAAAAGGGACTACCTAGTAGTTTATAAAGACTCTGGCGATTCTTCCCATCTAGGAATCTACAGGACATTCACTCAACAAATACAGATGCTCCTTAACTTATGATGAGGTTATATCCCAGTAAACTCATTGTAAGTTGAAAATACTGTAATTCAAAAATGCATGTAATACATCTAATCTACCAGACACCACAGGGTTAGGCTACTCTATCTTAAACATGCTCAGAACACCTATTCTGTTCCATAGAGTTCCTATCTCCACTTTCTTAACTACATTTGCTGACAGTTGATCAAAATCATCTAACACAATGCCAATTTTATAATAAAATGTTGAGTATCTCATGTAATTTACTGAATATTGCACTGAAAATGAAAAAGAGAATGGCTGTATGGATACCTGAAGTACAATTTCTACTGAATACATATCAATTTCACATCATCGTAAAGTTGAAAAATTATATAAGTTGAACCATCAGAAGTCAGGAATTCTCTGTCCTTACTAAAAACCTATTGTGTGACGGCCAGGCGTGGTGGCTCACGCCTGTAATTCCAGCATTTTGGAAGGCTGAGGTGGCGGATCACCTGAGGTTGAGAGTTCAAGACCAGCCTGACCAACATGCAGAAACCCCATCTCTACTAAAAATACAAAATTAGCCAGGTGTGGTGGCACATGCCTGTAATCCCAGCTACTCAGGAGGTTGAGGCAGGAGAATCACTTGAACTCGAGAGGCTGCGGTTATGATGAGCCGAGATTGTGCCATTGCACTCTGACTGGGCAACAAGAGCAAAACTCCATCTCAAGGAAAAAGACAAACAAAACAAAACAAAACAAAAACCTACGGTATGACAAATGTTATGTTAAGTGTTGGAAGTGCAGATGAGACAAATTCCATGGATGCCAATAAGTTTAAAGACTTAGGCCACAAGGTGTCTCTATTTACATGATAAACAATATCAGGTCTCCCATCAAACTAGAATGCAGTGTTTGAAATACTTAATTCCTCAACACTAGTTATCTCATTTTCTCAAATTTCAAAATTAATCCAAGCTTTTCAGAGTGAATCCCATTATACCTATTAAACCATTCCCCACTTGTGTATCAGGCTGATGTGGCTGCCAGCAGCAGGCTATACCTATATTTTACACTGTTCTCTTTGAGTGCCCTAGGGCCTCCAGCCTACCAATACTCACAAAGATCTTGCCACCTGCTTGAGATTATCAGCACTCTGAGGGCTAAGAACGGCACATGTCTGGAAGAGTTCTAGGGATTCTTGGATATTTCCTTCCAGGCGAAATATCAATGCTGCCAAGAAACGGAAAATACAAAAAAAAAAAAAAAAAAAAAAAAAAAAAAAAAAAAGAAGAAGTAAAACCATGTTCTGGGAAAGCTGGGATCAGAAAAATTAGAGAAGAGGAAACTGGGAAACAACATCAAGCTGTATCCTTAATACAATCAGATATGACTTCAGACAGGCCAACCCAACAACCAAAACTGTTGACCAGCTAAATTCTGCTTTAGTAAGGTAGCTCAAACCTACCTACTTCTCTCTCTACTCCCAGGATCCATCACATAGATAATCAGTTCCTTTGCAAATTATCACACAAACTCTTCACATTAAGAACATTTTGGGACTTCCCCATCAGATGCTTCATTTATCATAACTGACTTCCACCTGATCATTTTCAGAGTGAACCCCCAAATGGGGCAAATGGAATCAATACCTCAAGTTCAATACAGAGATTCTGGCAAAGAATACAGTAACATTTCAGACTTCAGTTGTTAGTATAACAGCCAATAAGAACCAGTGGTTTTTCCTAGGCCTATGTTTTCAGAAGAATTTATCAGGCACTGAAAATCTGTTACTTGTAACACTGAGAATAAGAGCATTTTTGCCATGATGTCCTCAATTTGTCAATCTTACCAATCATATCAGAAAATTATATGTTAATGTGAAGACTACAAATGCAATGAATGGTAAACAAAACCATTCATTTATACCCAAGAGTCAAAAAGAAAGTTCCTGGGAAAATTAAGAATGCTATTTATGGCACTGAAGAGTAAAATTTAAATCAGTGGTCCTTATCTTTAGTTTTTGATGAGCTGAATGTATGCTCTGCTTTATCCTGTTTATTTCTTCTAGGCTTCTTCCCCTCATCCTGATTCACCTTACAACAATCCTCAAGCTCTTCTTCATCTCTTTTAGCTTGACTAGAAGGAATCCCTGCAAAAGCATCTTCTGGCCCTGAAATCACTGTATTAGGCAGGAATCCTAAGCATCCATTCCAAAAAACACTAGCCAGAAACTAAAAAATGGGTGAGTAAAGACAGCAAGTTTTTTTTGTTTTTTGTTTTTTTTTTTGAGATGGAGTTTCGCTCTTGTTGCTCAGGCTGGAGTGCAATGGCACGATCTCGGCTCACTGCAACCTCCATCTCCCAGGTTCAAGCGATTCTCCTGCCTCAGCCTCCCAAGTAGCTGGGATTACAGGCATGTACCACCATACCTGGCTAATTTTTGTATATTTAGTAGAGACGGGGGTTTCACCATGTTGGTCAGGCTGGTCTCGAACTTCTGACCTTGTGATCCACCCACCCCGGCCTCCCAAAGTCCTGGGATTACAGGCATGAGCCACCACACCTGGCCTTAAGAGCAAGTTTTCTAACAGTACTAGTCATTTCTAGAGTCAAATCCAACACAATAATTATATATATATTCAGATTTCATAAAAAGATAATACTGAATAAAACCTTTCTGGAACATTTACACTCATCCACCTGTAATGACATTTTGGTCGACAGCTGCACAAATGACAATGATCCCTTAAGATTATAATGAAGAGGAAAAATTCCTATTGCCTACTGACATCATAGCAATCAAAACAGTGTAATGCATTACTCACCTATCTGTAGTGATGCTGGTGTAAACAAACCTGTGCTGCCAGTCACATAAAAGTATAGCGTATACAATTATGTATATATAGAACATAATACTTGATAATGATAATAAATGACTATATTACTGGTTTATGTATTTACTATACTATAGGTTTTAATCTTTAGAGTGTACTCCTTCCATTTATTAAGAAAAAAAAGTACAACAGCCTCAGGCAGATCCTTCAGGAGGTATTCCAGAAGGTATCACTATAAGAGATGACAGCTCCGTGCATGTCATTGCCACTGCAGACCTTCTATAAGGAGGTGGAAGACAGTGATATTTATAATCTAGACTCTGTGTAGGCCTAGGCACGAGCACATGTGTATGTGTGTGTCACAAAGACCTTAGATGGGTCACAAAGCTCTGAATACCAAAAAAGACAACACCAAGGATACATCCTGCATGTTAATACTACCATTGCAGTAGTGTGTGTGTCTTAGTTTTTAACAAAAAAGTTTAAAAGTAAAGAAATAAAAACTTTTAAGAATAGCATAAAGGGCCAGACGTGTGGCTCATGCCTGTAATCCCAGCACTTTGAGAGGCTGAGGCAGGAGGACTGCTTGAGCCCAGCAGTTCAAGACCAGCATGGGCAACATAGTGAGATTCTGTTTCTACCAAAAAAAAAAACAAGAAGAAGAAGAAAAAAGCATATAGAATAAGGACATAAAGAAACTACTTTTGTACATATTGTACAATGCTTATGTGTGTTTTAAGTATTACTACAAAAAAAAGTTTTAAAGTTCATAAAGTAAAAGTTACATTAAGCAATTTTATAAAGTAAAAATTTACCATTGCAGAAAAATTATTTTTAAATAAATTTAGTATAGTCTAAGCGTACAATGTTTATAAAGTCTACAGTAGTACACAATAATGTCCTATGCCTTCACTAACTCACCCAGAGCAACTTCCAGTCCTGTAAGCTCCATCCATGGTAAGCACTCTATACTGGTGTACTATTTTTTATCTTTCATACCATATTTTTAACAGTACCTTTTCTATGTTTAGATACATTTACCACTGTTTTACAACTGCCTACAGTATTCAGTACAATACATGCTCATATAGGTTTGTAGCCTAGGAGCAACAGACTATATCATACAGCCTATGTGTATAGTATAATATCATCCATCTACATTTGTGTAAGTACACTCTATGATGTTCACACAATGATAAAATTGCCTAACAACACATTTCTTAGAATGTATCTCCAGTGTTAAGTGGTATGTAGCTGTACTTGAATTTATTTCTAAAATTGCCTGCTCTTTTTCAAGAATCTAGGAAAAGTGTATTTCTCTAGCAAGAAGACAAGAAGTGTCTTACCTTGGACATAGATAGCATATTCACACAATCCCTGAGTCTCCTGAAGCTGGTCTTTGATAACAGCCTGAAAGAGGAAGAAAAAGGCTTCTGAGCAGTGGTTAAGATTATTCAGGTGTATTCAATAATATGTAAAAAATCTAGAGTATTAATAATGCCTAGTAAAGTACTAGTTCATCCAGTTTCTTAAAATTTCAACTCCCTTGTTATGATTACTTATCCTAGAACAGGGATTTGCAAACTATGGGGCCTACAGGCACTTTTTATTTTTGTACAGCTCTCAAGCTAAGAGTGGTTTTTGTATTTCTAAAGAGTTATAAAAAATAAGATGATGACAAATATGAGGTAGAGACTGTATGTGGCCTACAAAGCCTACAATATTGTTGGCCCATTACAGAAAAAGTTTGCCAACTCCTGTCTAAAATCTAACTAGACAAGCTAAGAAAAGTATGAAAAGATTTCCAAGTAATATCACAGAAGAAAAAGAAAGAACCTTTCAAGATTCATACTGGTATCTGCCTTCAGGTCAGTGGTGTCAAAAAAAAAACTATTATGAATCTTTGTCATACCAGTATGAATCAGTTCTGTGAACTACCATAGGTATAAATGCCACAGGTATAAATTAAAAACCTTAGGTCACAAAGCTCTGGATGCCAAAAAAGATGACACCAAGGATACCTTCTGCGTGTTAGTACTACCGCTGTCTGCCTGCAAGTTTGTAACATATATGATATGTAACCAAAGATATAGAAAAAGGGAAATACAAATGGCTTTTAAATATACAAATGATGATCAACCTTGCAATAAGAGGAAAAATTAAAAATAAAACTCAACAAAATACCATTTTTCATCTATCCAAAGATTAAAAAGTTAAGACAATATGCTGAGTTGAATATCTGCCTCCACTGGAGGCAGAGAGTTGTTTGGTCTTGACCTAAGACGACATACGGAACACACCTAAAACTGATCCACAGCCTGCAGTCACACCCAGCCAACTCACAGTTGATCTGAAAGCCCATGAGCAATTAATATCTGTTTGTTGGGGGCCACTGAAATTTTGAAGTTGTATGTTAAGCATCACTAAAACAGCAAAAGATAAGCAGTAGATGAGGTATGGGGAAAAAGGAATTCATACTTCATCACTGAGATATAAACTGCTACACTCTGTGCAGCAGGCAACTGTTAGCTGCCTACCCAGCATCCTGCCTCTCATTTTCATTATCATGGCAATCTCTTACCTTGCATGCTTCATAATCTTTCCGGATATAATGAAGATGAATCAACCAGTTCTGCTTCTCCAAAATAGGAAACTCTGGAGCTAAGTAGCATATTTTGACAAAACAAACAACACAGTTATTAGATTTTCTCCTTTAGCACTGTCCTCATGTCTAAACTAACCATAAACATACTGCAATATCACATGAAAATTTTCATGCTATTTACTATAAGAATATATTATAGTGTATCAAAAATGTATAGATTATCAAACAAAGAGATATTTGTCCTACTACTACACGTTCAATATATATCTTGAGTTTTTGAAGCTTGTAATGTCAGTTTCTCATCAAATGATGACTTGGCCTGAAAAACATAAAATCCTCCTTTGTCTTTTCAATCCCTCCCTCCCTGATTATAAAAGGTGAATAGAAAGACTTTCTAAAGAAGACTGAAGGAATGTCACTAAGGAAATATATGTAAGATAGTTAATATCACATCTGATGATCAGAATACCAAAAATATTTTAAATAAACACAATCTTTAGAAATAGCGCAAATGAGAACACTATGCTGTTGTCCAGAAATGAGAAGTCAACAATGAAAAAAATCTAGTTGAGTCATTGAAAATGGCTAATGATAGAGAAACCAAAAAATGAGTTACCTGCCCACTAAAATCAGAAGTTTAAAATACAGTAAAAATTCATTAAGAAGTTACTTTTCTGTGGTAACAAGGAGTAGAAAGACCCAAATTAACCCCAGAATGGTGAAGATCTCAAGGAAGGAAGAGGGAAGAACAGAATTATGAAAAGACAGAAAGGAGACTTCAACTCTTTAATGCTTATTTCTCAAAAAAATAAAAAGCTTTAAAGTAAACACGACTAAATGTTTTTTACTTATTAAGCCTAGCCAGTGAGGACATGCCTGTTTATATTACTTTTGTGAACTTTAATATGTTGGTGACAGTCCTTGATTTTTAAAAATGGAAAACAGCCCACATACAGTGGCTCATCCCTGCAATTCCAGCACTTTGGGAGAGCGAGGTGGGCAGATCACTTGAGTCCAGGAGTTTGAGGCCAATCATCTTATTTCTTTGAGGCCAGCCTGGGCAACACAGTGAAACCCCATCTCTACCAAAAATACAAAAATTAGCTGGGTGTGGTGGCACATGCCTGTGGTCCCAGCGACTCAGGAGGCTGAGGCATGAGAATCACTTGAACCAGGGTGATGGAGGCTGCAGTGAGCTGAAATCATGACACTGTACTCGAGCCTGGGCCAGAGTAAGGCTCTGTCTCCAAGAAAAAGAAAAAAAAGGAGGGCTGGGCGTGGTGGCTCACGCCTGTAATCCCAGCACTTTGGGAGGCCGAGGCGGATGGATCACCAGGTCAAGAGATCGAGACCATCCTGGTCAACATGGTAAACCCCATCTCTACTAAAAATACAAAAAATTAGCTGGGCATGGTGACGCGTGCCTATAATCCCAGCTACTCAGGAGGCTGAGGCAGGAAAATTGCCTGAACCCAGGAGGCGGAGGTTGCGGTGAGCCGAGACCGTGCCATTGCACTCCAGCCTGGGTAACAAGAGCGAAACTCCGTCTCATAAAAAAATAAAAAAGAAAAGAAAAAAAAGGAAAAGAAAGGGAAGAGCAAGGGGAAGAGAGGAAAATGACTGTAACCTATTTCTTGATGTTCCACAATCTAAGGAGAAACAACCTAAAGAAAACCAAAAAACGGCCAGGTGTGGTGGCTCATATCTGTAATCCCAGCATTTTGAGAGGTCAAGGCGGCTGGATCACACGAGGTCAGGAGTTGGAGATCAGCCTGACCAACATGGTGAAACCCCATTTCTACTACAAAATACAAAAATTAGCTGGGTATGGTGGTAGGCGTCTATAATCCCAGCTACTTGGGAGGCTGAGGCAGGAGAATCACTTGAACCCAGGAGGTGGGGGTTGCAGTGAGCCAAGATCACGCCATTACACTCCAGCCTGGGAGAAAGAGCAAGACTCTGAGGAAAAAAAAAAAAAAAAAAACCTCTATGTCCAGGGAGAAAAAAAATGCTTACTGTGATTCAGAGTTAATGTTGCCTGAACACAAAAATTAAAAGGTATGACCAGACACCTTGGCTCACAACTGTAATCCCAACACTTTGGGAGGCTGAGACAGGAGGATCAGTTGAGTCCAGAAATTTGATACCATCCTGGGCAATATAGCAGGACCCTCATCTCAAAAAAAATTTTTTTTAATTTTTTTAAATAAAAAAGTAATGTTGCCGGGCGCAGTGGCTCACGCCTATAATCCCAACACTTTGGGAGGCTGAGGCAGGTGGATCACGAGGTCAAGAGATCGAGACCATCCTGGTCAACATGGTGAAACCCCGTCTCTACTAAAAATACAAAAAATTAGCTGGGCATGGTGACGCGTGNAAAAAAAAAAAAAAAAAAAGAAGTAATGTTGCTCACTACTATCCAAGAATATGAAGTATCAATGAAATTTTTAAGAACAAATTATAACAGAAAGTATGAATATGATTTTACACACCAGGAACAAGAAAAAGTAAAATTTTAAGCAACTGACTCTTCATCTTCTGAGTATACATATTCTCTTAGTAGAATCACCCTTCTGGTCATCAGGGCCTATTTGAGATTCTTCTAAGACTTTTGTTTCCTTTCTTCTCTTCCCCTATGCCTCGCCAAAAAGCAGATCTCTTGGTTATTCACATTCTGCCTAACCACTTCCAGAATTAAATTTCCTTTGAAAAAGCCACACGAAACACCAAGCTTAAAGATGTATGTGTGTGTGTCTGTGTGAAGTACATAAAGAACTGTACCATAATAAATATTTCTGGGGGCCAGCCACAGTGGTTCACGTCTGTAATCCCAACACTTTGGGAGGCTGAGGCAGGCATATTACGAGGTTGGGAGATCGAGACCATACTGGCTAACACAGTGAAACCCCGTTTCTACTAAAAATACAAAAAATTAGCTGGGCATGGTGGCACACGTCTGTAATCTCAGCAACTTGGGAGGCTGAGGCAGGAGAATCACTTGAACCCAGGAGGCAGAGCTGCAGTGAGCCAAGATCACGCCACTGTACTCTGACCTGGGTGACAGAGTGAGACTCTGCCTCAAAAAAATAAATAAATAGTTCTGGGACAGGAGGGCTTACTCAGTAATCTTGGACCAAGTCTCGACTGCATGACCCACCCCTCTGTCACCTATCTACTAAAGGGAAGAGTAAAAGAGAATGAGGCACTGAACCCTTTTGAGTTTATACTATCATTAAGTATTACAAACCTTAGATACTTAGTATAGTATCACTAGCAGTCTAAGAGAAAAGTTATAAAATGTTAATTTTCAAGTCTTGGCTGTTATTAAAATCTCACAATAAAAGACGAGTCATGGCTAGCCATGGTGGCTCACGCCTGTAACCCCAGCACTTTGGGAGGCCTAGGTGAGTCCAGGAGTTTGAGGCCAGCCTGGACAATGTGATGAAACCCCATCTCTACAAAAAAAAAATACAAAAAAATTAGCTGGGAGTAGTGGCACATGCCTGTAGTTCCAGCAACTTGGGAGGCTAAGTTGGGAGGATCACTTGAGCCTAGGAGGCAGAGGTTGCAATGAATCATGATTGTGCCACTGCACTCCAACCTAGACAACAGAGTGAG